GAGAGTGTTGATAGTGCAACATCTCTTTTAGAGAACCCTCTAGAGCTCTTTACAGCATACTTGGACAGTGCATGATGCCCTCTCAATCATCAAGTAGGAATTAAAGTATGGATTTTAGACCATAAAGAGAAAAAGGTGGCTCAGCTCTCTAGAACACTTCTAGCAACTTCAGCCAATAAGATGGATTATCTGGCCATGATCTCTACCATGGATCTTGCCTCACAACATGGAATCCACCTTGTCCACTATCTAACAACTTAAGTATCATGTCTGATATTTGTGAGCTGTGGCAATGAGCAATTGATTTCACGTCTCTATTTTACACTATCAGCTCTGACACCAACAAGGAGTGGTTCACTCCCTATGCCAATAAAATCCTCCAAATAAACTCTCTCATGAGGCGATTGAGACGAGGCATGAGTGAACTTTGACAGCTCCTATAACAATAACCGTCTATGACATAGAGCTGCCTCTAGACATGTTTGAGGCTGCCAACACATCTCCAACCCTAGATGATTGTTGCAAGCAAGGCTTCCTTTTGGACAACTTAGATATCAATCTTTATAAGCACCAGCCTTTGGATTGAGTATGAAAACTAACTCTTGGAGATTTTTCATTCTTTCAGGGAAGTATTTGCTTGAGACTACTCCCACCTTAGAGGCATCCTTGTGATCGATCTGAGGTACTGGAAGATCGATCCAAGACACTGGAAAATTGAGGTGAGGCAATCGAGAGGAGATTAGCAGCCCCTGGTGACATTCATCTAGGATTCCAATCCGCTCTTCCCACCCAAGCAGTATTGCTCGAGACCAACCTGGTGACATTCGTCCCTGAGGCGGACAAGGTGCAATGCAGAAGGTTCTACTGCACGCGATGGAGAGAGCGCTTCTCCGCTCTTGTATTTGATCAAAAACACTAATCTTTTTTTATCTCCCATAAGCTGCAAGAACTGTGTTATAAGAGACAGTGTCTCGTCGGGACATGGAATAAAATGAGTAGCGCATTTGTTAGATGCCCTGTTCGGGAATATGCTGAGAGAAGTGTGATGATCGTCTTCTCCTGCAATGTGTCTCGATAGAGACTCCCGTCTCAGAGCAAAAGAAAGGAATCTTAGAGCATCAAATCAACAAAGAGAGCAGAATATTTTCAAGGCCCAAAACAGATGGGAGGTAATCATTAACATTAGTTTAATGGCCCAATATAAAGAAGGATCCAAACCTTTTAAGCTTTGGATTTTGGAGGCAATTGAGGTGGTGCCTGCCCCACATTCATCCCTAAATTCATATTACATTTCTAGATGCATCTTCTAAGATCTTTCTGGCATGGAAAGAAAACATTAAACTCAAAGGTTTATACTTGAAAAAAGATAAACTCTCTCATAAATTAGAAGAATTGTATTGGAAGAGCTGAAAGTAAAGATATACTAAATGCCCTGTTTGGAAATATAAAAAAAAAATGTGTCAAAATTTTGCTTCACTTTAGCAATTTCTCAAAAGCATCAATGTTTCTAAAAATAATAATGGAGATGGGAGGTATCGATCCTCCTACCTTCTACTTGCTGTGTAAATGCTCTACCAATTGAGCTACATCCCCTGATTATTGGCATTAAAGAATTTCATTAGTAGTGTTTTGCTTGGGCTTGGTTGCAAGCGCATCTAAATAAAGGCTGTGGAAGATCGATCTAAGATCGATCCAAGACACTGGAAGATTGAGGTGAGGCAATCTAGAGGAGCATTCATCTATGAGGCACCAAGTTAGTTTGGGGATTCCAGACGAGGAGATTGCTCGAGATCAACAGGTGACATTCGTCCCTGAGGCGCCATCCACGGACAAGGTGCAATGCAGGAGAGCACGTGATGGAGAGAGCGCTTCTCCGCTCTTCCTTGTGTGCATTCTATGTGGTCTCGCCCAGTTTCACTCCGCGATTCTGACAGAGTAGCCAAGTCTCGCGCCCGTGAAAGTTCATACAAGCCACTACAATCATCGATGGCCTTTGGTATCTCATCAAACCATCGGATATAGACTGAAACTCGAGGCTGGTTGAGGACAAAGGAGATGACCATTCGGATGAAAGTGGAAACTGCATCAGAGGTATGATTCATCTCTCAAATTTTTGCAAAGTTCTCATTGATAAGACAATTGCGACGAAGTTGATATGGAGCCTCTCGATACTGTTAAAGTATATGATCTACGGGTGTTTGAGCTTCCCAGAGTCAACGCTACCTGGGTCACGGTTTTGGTGATTGGAGAAACGAAAACGCTGTGAGCAATAAGATGAACCGCCAGAAAAACCATGCAAACCATGGTCACCGGCTATCTTGGATTCGAGATTTACAACATCGAGCCTCCAGATACCATCAAATGTTCTCTATGTCCAAAACACTCTCTTGTGAGGAGAACTCAGTACGTGGCACGGGCCTTCCTGTTCCTTGCACTTAAAATCAGGTACTGCGATTCTTCCTACCAAGTGAAAGATCTTAAATCTTTTTTGGTTGGAACTCTATCGACGAAAAACTTCTTTTCAAACTCATTTGCAGCTTGATCCTGGTAGGCTTCGAGGCCTCTTCCTGCTAGCTGTGGCTTCCACCATGTCTTACTTCTGGATAAATGTAAAGGACTTTCTAATGTGGATGGTAAAATCGACCTCTATAAGTCTGCGGAAGAGATCTTGGACCCCTTTACGACGTGGCAGCTTGAATAGATCCACATTCTTCGACTTCATATAGAGTCCATAGAGTTTGGAGTCAGCTCCCAATCCCTGGAACGCAATCACACAACTTGGATAAACAAATTGCTTAGATATGATCTCCCACCTCGAATGCCTGCTTGACAAGAGAAACCCCAGCGTTATAGCCATCACTGTCGCCGCTGCTAGAAAACCGAAGCCCTCACCTGTGGATCAATTGTAAACTTCCACGAATTTAAAGTACTTGTAGAAACGAGATAAGTTTACCAGGTATGTTGCCTTTCACAAGAGCTGAACATGGCTGTAACTGCTCTTCGGACGTTTGTCAATCTTCTCATAAACTGGGCATGGGACACACCACTAACCTGCATGTATAAAGTTCATGAACTGATCCGACAAACACCAAAAAACAAGAGGATCACCTCCAATTCCACAACATTGCAAAGAGCAGCATTGGGATGGTAGACAATCACGTTTGCACCTGACGAAAATACCTGAAAGAAAGAAAATAAAAATAAAAGAACAAGCAGCCAGTTCAATGCCATACAAACACAAAACGAATGTAATACCTTCTCAGCCACCCCCATGGCACCATAGAGACCTTCATTCGAGTGTCCCACAAGAAAAATAATAACACTTCTGTAAGTTTTTCACTGTACCTCAATCGACAAGTAGCTCGCTAGAACAGTAAGCTGCTGTCGTCAACCAAGGCAACTTCGGCCTTAAGAAGTTCCACATGTTAGCATTGGAAAGCATACACATTTAATTACCTCAAGGCTCTTCAGCAGGTCAAGAGATGTTTGAGAGCCTTTAGTTCCTGCAAAAATTACAAACCGGCCAACATACTCCTGGAAGCATAATAAAATAATTATCATTAGTAATCGCTTCGATGAGCAGTGTGCCAATACCAGAACAGAATCCTACTAGTTAACATGTATGGCTTGGAAAAACTGAAACTTACGGAGATTCCTGAGAATGAGTCTTGAGTCATCAAGCTTGATCCACATTTGTATTCTTCATCTCCATGCAGAGTAGCCCAGGCCAGAAAGATCGATGAAAATCAGTGTCATAACAAAGAAGAACAAAACAGTTTGAAACCCGCAAGACCTACAAAAAGAAGCCACACATCAAATGAAATGAAAAGACGCCTACATACATGATTTGGAGAATGACCGGAGGCTACCACGGCTTTGACAGAGTTGAGGATGCACTATCATTCTGGAAAAAAGAATATAAAGGATAGATGAAACATACCAAGCAAAACTTACTTTAACTATAAAGTGAGAGGGGAGATCATCGCTTCTCATCCTCAAAATCTCTGCCAGTTCAAGGAAATCTTCTCCGCCGTATGTAGAGCCAACCTGCTTGTTCAAAATAGTATGTACATAAGTAACAGCGAAGAAAAATCCCTGGGCGATAACCTGCAAGAGATCTGCTAATGTGGTAGTCTTCCGAGCGAGACGTGCCAGAAACTGTAATGGAATTGAAGGTTCCTCTCCACAACTCAGCACAACAATTGAAGGTCCCAATCCCATCACACGCCGCGAAGATAATCTCGTTTGCATAGGTGCCTACACACACTTCAGGCACCTGTCGATTTCATGTTCATGCTGACTCCCACAGAGCATCCGGAGATTCTGCGGTTTCCATTCTTCACTACAGATGATCTCATGATGCGGAGCAGGCCTTCGCAGAGCTTCAGAGTACCATTCCAGGTCGCCTACAAGGCCCTGGCCATTCCATCGGTTGATCTTCCAGAGGTAAGAAACAACGTGGGTTCCTGGCCTCCGTCAACTTGGGAGCTCTCAAAAGGTAACTTTGCCGCTGAAAGCTTCACGTTCTCCTGTTGCTGAAAGAACGAAACTTCACGATTGGCAACGAAGCTTCACCTTCGAGAGGGTTAAGGACAAGCTTGTCACCCTCCACCTTCACGAGTCCAATCGGATCCAGCATAGTTTCTAGAGTCGATGCCTATCAAGGAGATAGGCCTGGGAGGGAAGCCATTGCTCACGATTGCTAGCTGGTTCCCGTAGGAGCAAAGATGAGGCAGGGTCTTAGAATTTGTGTTGAGATCCAAAATCGTATTCTATCCGCTCCGATCAACATGAAAACTTTGTTTGCAAGGTGTTTTTCATCTGCACCCCGGCAAGTCCTCGAACTGCACCAAGTGCTTTCGAGAGATGGTTTGCACAGCGTAGTGTGCAACTCTTCGCTCCACGGAATCAAGGCGATATACCGCAGGGGCCCTCTCATCGTTTGGGATACCCGCCTCCAGGATATTCCATCGAAGCAAGGGTAGTCCCAAGGATATTCCTTTAAACACTATCCGCTCGCTTATAAAGATTTCTTCCTGGAACACAATTCGAGTGAAATTCCATAGCAAGAGAGCGTCGGCGAATGGAGTTCAACTCTCCTTAGATCAAACGCTATTGTCTACCTTCATTATCATCGTCATCTTTTTTTCTCTCTTGCTCGCCTTCTTCCAACGGCAATAGAAGCTTGTTCTCTAACACATCACCGATGTTCTTCCAGCCTCGATCTCTCATCTTCCTCATCAACTTGGCCACCTCGTGCTGCTGTCCAGTCTTCACGTAGAGATTATACAGCAAAACATACGGCGTGGAGCTCGCGGGATCCAACTCCACGAGCTTCTCGCCGACTTTAGCAGCAAACTCGACGTTCTTGTGAAGAATGCAAGCGCTCAAGAGCGCTGTCCACACCACTTGATCCGGCTCAAAAGGCATCGTCTCCACGAGCTCCTCGGCCTCTCGCAATCGCCCAGCCCGCCCAAGAACGTCGATCATGGAGCAAAAGTGGTGGATCCGCGGCTCTATCCCGTGATCGTCACGCATCGATGAGAAGAACTTCTTGGCTTCCTCGACTCTTCCAAAGTGGCTGCATGCTCCAAACAACCGGAGAATGGTCTGCTCGTTTGGACCAACGCCCTCGAGATCCATGATCTGGAGAGCATCGTTCCGGAGCCCGACCACGACCGAGCACGACACCGAGTCCTTCTCGGGCATGGAATCGAAGAGCTCGGTGGCCTTGCCTTCACAACCCGCTCGGACGTAAGCAGCGGTCATGGCTGTCCACGACACAACGTTGGCTTTGCTCGAGAGGGAGAGATCGTCAAAGACTGTCTTGGCGGATTCGAGGCGCCCGGCGGTGGCGTAAGCTCCGATCATCGCATTGGCAGTGGCGGTGTGCTGCTCGGGCACGATCTGGAACACCGCCCTCGCCTCTTCCAATCGCCCATTGTTCGCAAATGCCGACACGAGGATGCTCCATGCAAGAGTCTCTCGCTGTGGCATCGCGCGGAAGATTTTCATAGCCTTGTCAAGATGGCCGTTCTGGGTATGAGCCGCGATGAGAGTCGTCCACGCCCGAGCGTCACGCTTCGGCATTTGATCGAATGTGGCCTTGGATTTCTCCAGGAGATTGCTCTGCGCGTAGGCGAGGACGACCGCAGTCCAGGAAACGATGTCCCTGCCCGGCATTTTCTCGAAGATCTGGAGCGTTTCCTCCAAACATCCTTCCTGGGCATACGCCGACAGCAAGATCGTCCACGAAAACACATCCCTGACCGCGATCTGGCCAAAAACCTCGCTCGATTTCTCCAGGAAACCATTCTGGGCATAGCCCTGGAGCATCGAGTTCCAGGAGATCACGTCCCGCCACGGCATCCGCGCGAAGAAGAACTCCGCCTCGTTTAAATCCCCGCGCGCGGCAAAGGCCGCAAGCACATTGGTCCACGTGGCGACATCCGGCTGCGCCATGCTGGCAAACAGCGTTTTGGCTTTCTCCGGGAAGCCATTGACGCCATACCCCTGGATCATCGAGTTCCAGGCGTGGGAATCCCACTGCGGCATCGAATTGAAGAGCTTCTCGGCCTCTCCCAGCTGTCCAGCGATCGCGTACGCCGGGAGGAGCGCATTCCAGGAAACGAGATTCCTCGACGGCATCCGATCGAACAAGCTGCGCGATTCGTCGATCCGGCCCTCTTGCGCGAGGCCCTGCAGCGCCGCGGTCCAGGTGACCACATCGCGCTGTGGGATTCGATCGAAGAGCGTGATCGCGTCGGCGGCATGGCCATGGAGGGCCAGCGCCGCCACGATCGCGTTGTGGGCGACGAGGTCGCGGGTGGGCATTCGATCGAAGATGGCGATCGACTCCCGCAGCGATCCGGCCTGCGAGAAGCCGGCGATGAGCGCCGTCCAGGAGACGATGCTCCTCTCAGGCATCCAATCAAAGAGGTTTTTCAATATTTGCAAATGCCGCTCTCGGGCAAATGCTGAGACTATGGCGTTCCAGGCCACAACATTCCTCGCGGGCATGGAATCGAATAAGCAGTGCGCCTGCTGTGTCGATCCCACCTGCGCGTATGACGAGACGATCGCCGTCCAAGAGACGAGATCTCTCCTGGGCATAGAATCGAAGAGACTCTTGGCGTACTCCAGATGCCCATGAAGGGCATATGCCTGGAGCAAGATGTTCCAGGAGAAGCAATTGGGCGATTGAATCGCATCGAAAGCCGATCGGGCCTCGAGGAGCTTGCCGCATTTCGCGTACATGTCGACGAGGAGATTGGAGAGGATTGTGGGAGGCGGGCGGCGGTGATTGGCGATGCTGTGGTGGACGCGGCGGCCAGCGGAGATGTCCCTGGCGGCGGTGCACGACCGGAGGAGCCGTCCCAAGCGCTTGATGCGCTCCTCGTCCTCGTCCTCGCCTTGCTCGTCATGGTGCTGGTCATCGATTGCGATTGACGATGTAGTAAACGATCGAGCGATCCAGAGAAGAGGGTGATGATCAAACGATCTCGCAATCCAGAGGAGAGGCCGATGATCAAACGATCTGGCGATCCAGAGAAGAGGGCGATGACCATTCCATTTCTTTGACAAAAGTGACATCGCCCCACATTGTTCTTAAACCATTTAAAACGAAGTTAAGTTTAGGGTTTATGGTCTATGAGATTATTCTATAGTATATTCTCTCAAGTTGAGATTATTCTACAGTATATTCCTTTAAGTTATTCCATAGTTTAAGTTTGATCTCTTTGCTTGTAAATGTTCTCCATGAGTACGTAGGCATAGCTCGATCCATCTCTCGTCTCGTCCATTCCCAGCAGCGCCTCGAATGCCACTCGCCCAATCTCCAAGTTCTTCCACTTCTCACACCCCGCGAGAAGGATCGTCCATCCCACCGCAGTCGGCTTGAAAGGCATCGATCTGAGGAGCTCCACGGCGGCCTGGAGCTCATTCGCGCGGCACAGCAGATCCACCACGCAAATGTAGTGCTCCACGCACGGCTGGATCCCAAACTTTTGCTCCATCGTGTCGAAGAGCTTCCTCCCGGCTTGGATCCGGCCAGAGTGGCTGCAAGAGCTCAGCACACACTGCAAGGTGGTCGCGTCTGGATCCACGCCTTCGCCCAGCATCCTCTCGAAGAGCTCCAAGGCTCGATCGCTCTCGCCGCTGCGGCTCAATCCAGCGAGCAGCGCGGTCCAAGTTGCTTTCCCGCTCCTGGACGATGGGAGCGAGTCGAAAACTTGCTGGGCTTTCGCCACCTCGCCGTATCTTCCATAGACATCGATGATCGAGGTGGCGAGCGGAGAATCGAAGTGGACGAGCGCTCCATACCTGTTGATCTCGGCGTGAACTGCTAGAGTTGCGTCCAGGCTCAGGCAAGCTTTGAGAGCGGCGACGAAAGTCGGGCTCTCGGGAACCAGGCCTTCGTCTCTCATGAGCTCCAAGCAGTGGAGTGCCGAGGCCTCTTCCCCGCTTGAGGCGTAGCCGAGCACCAAAACTGTCCACGAGAAGACGTTCCGGTTGAGCAAGCGATCGAAGACTCTGCGAGCGTCCACCATGCTTCCACAGCTCGCGTACATGCTCACGAGCGTACTGGCAACGAAGCTGTCCAATTGAAATCCCCGCCTCGACACCTCCGAATGGAGAGCCATGCCTCTCTCCAGCGAGGAAAGCTTGACAACTCCTCCTGTTTCTAGCGTCTGGCCTTCCTCTTCACTCGCCAAGCTCGAGCAGGCCTTGAGAACCGTGGAGTAAGTCCGAGTGTTTGGAGCAGCGCAGCTTTTGAGCCGTTGCATGGAATCGAAGACTCGGACGGCCATCTCGGGCTCTCCATTCTCCACGTACGCATGGAGCATTGCGTTCCAGAGCACGACGTCGTCGAGAAAGAGCACGAAACTCTTGTCGAAAACCATCCGAGCGTCGAGCAAACTTCCACAGTTGGAGTACATATCCACCAGCGAGCTCGCTACAAACTTGTTGGCCTCGTTGCATCCGAGCTCCACAGCCTGCGAGTGAATCGCCATCCCTCTCTCCAAACACCTCAGCTTCACGGCCTTTCCGCCAATCTCCTCGAAAGCCTCCTCCTTGGAAGCAATGCCCGAGCACGCCTTGAGAGCCGCCACGAAAACTCTAGCGTCGGGCGAGCACGAGCTTTCCATCTTCATGCGATCGAAGCACAGCAAAGCCAGCCCCGCCTCGTCGTTCTCGACGTATCCCAGCATCAGCACTGTCCAGGAGACGCAGCTATGGATCGCCATCCTATCGAAAACTCTGCGAGCTTCCACCGTGGAGCCGATTTTGGCAAGCATCTCCATCACCGCATTCGCGACTTTGATGTCCGAGTCGATGAATCCCTTTGCCGCTGCTCCGGAGGAGACCCTCATCCCAGTTTCCATCCACCAGCCTGCATCTTGCTTGGGGGAGCTTTCGGCGAGACGCGAACAAGCCTTGGCAGCAGCAAGATAGATTCCTTCCATGCCTGTGAGAGGTTCTAGACCCGGACTAACGTATCCCAGCATCCAGGGATCCACACCACGCAGCAATGCTCCGGGCATGGAATGCAAAGCGCTATGAGCTTCTACCATGTTGCCACATCGAGCACAAATGCGGATTAAGGCGCTGGGCACGGCAATGCTGGAAATCCCCGTGGTAGCGTGGATCCTCCTCCCGGTTTCTACATCCCTGGTGCTGCGACACACCTGGAGCGTTGCGGCATGGAAGGATTGCTGGAGGAGCCGCCATGGATTTGGAAATGTACCTGGATGCCGTGCCGCCACGACCTTAAACCTAAACTCTCTAATTCCAAATAAAAGTTTATTTGGCAACGAAACGTAGGCTAATTTTTGTTGCCACGTAAACACTCTTTCTTGCCATACTTACATTGATGGGGTGACTTCTTATGATTCTTTAGCATGAGCTAGTTAAAGGGTTGTGCAACACTTCTTACACTGGCCATTTTCAGTTGACACTATTCTCAAGACTGCCTATAGAAGATGTTCACTTGTAAATTATATATTTCCTGATAGTCATTATATATAATGGGTAGGATTATATGCCACAATTTCAAGAATTTCCCCTATGTTTGGAAGGTGTTGCATTGCTTTGGTTTGTGAATTTTGTGACACTATTAAATGCCATTATTCAATTAGTGTTTGATGGTCTTCATACACTATTAAATGCCACTATTTTGATGGACTTAGTGAGGCTTTTGCGAGATATTCTCATAAAGTTGTTGATAAGGTGTTGAAGCTATACAACTTTTTGGGGGAGTTCATTATACATTTTGGTATTTACATCAAGAACTTGCTAATGCACGTGGATTCTAAAATATCTAAGCCACTCAAGTTGGGATTGTTTTATATGTGTGTGGTTTTATTAAAAAATTTATCTGTGCACATCAACCTCCTATGGTTGATGATTGAATTGTTGTTATACACAGTTTAAAGGGAAGTTTTAATAATATTTCGCACACATGCTAAGAAAACTAAGTTAAGAAAACTAAAAAGAGATTTGTAAAGAAGTATTTTGATATTTTAAGTTGTAGTGATATATCCTCTTTAGCTATGAATAATAGTTATATGATTTTCCCCTTAGTTGTGGATAATAAAAGTGTTCTATTATTTATCCTCTACTCTCTTTTACAACTTGTAGTATGGAGTTAATGGCTAATGAAATATTTTATGCACATTCACAAATTCTAAAAGCATTGGTTAAATATTATATCATTGACAATGCCTGATAAAACAAACATCTTTTGTTCTTACCTTTGTCAGAATACTGTTTGTATTTTTATTCTATATTATAATGGACACAATCACATTTTAATTGCTATATATGATAATTAATTATGAAGTATGTTGTAAATGCAAACAATTTATGTTATCTACTCTTTTTTAAGTGATTCAAATTGAATCCACAATTGATTAAGAGGTTGATCCATTTGTAGTTTGAAAGAAGGTTAATGGGATGTAAATAATGTTGCTACGACAAAAATCCAAAAAATAATTATTTAATCCTCTGACCATAAAGCCTAATTCCTCTTAGTGTTGTGGTGGTGGCAAAGAGAAACAAATCTTGAGTTGAGGCTATCCTTTTGGTTGGTAGAGTAGCTGTATCTTAGGGTGCAAATTTGTATTTATCATTAAATATTGTTCAACTGCTTATGGATGTGGTTATAATGATTGATCATATAAAAAAATATATAATAGTTAGTCTATAAATACCAAAAATTCAAAAATCAAGCTCAATTGAGATGAATAAAATTTTATATAACAGCAAAGTTTCTTGCACGCACAAATAAAAGTGTGAGATACAAAATCCCTAGGCCCCAAAGTGGAGCTGGAAGGGTGCCATGTGGTAGTGGCCAAAGCGAAAACCAAACGAGCGTAACACATTTGGACTAAAAACTCCGATTTGAAAGGTCAAGAGTGGGAGTGGAACTCCCAACGAAGTGCTCAAGGAACAAACACGAAGCAAGCAATAAGTGAGTCTCTAGAAAAGGGACACAAGAGGACTAACACATGACATGTGGTAAGAGTCTGAGATGGACCCGAGATGGACTCCAAGAGGGACCCAAGATGGACCCAAGATGGAGTTTGAGATGGAGTCCGAGATGGACCGAGACGGAGTCTGAGATGGACCCGAGATGGAATTCGAGATGGAGTCCGAGAAGGACCCGAGATGGAGTCCGAGGTCGAGACCGGGACCGGGACTGAGACCGGGACCGAGACCGAGACCGAGACCGAGATCGGGACTGAAATTGAGACCGAGGCCAAGGCCGAGACCGAGCCCGAGCCCAAGTCTGAGTCCGAGTCCAAACTCGAGTCCAAGTCCAAGTCTAAGTCTGAGTTTGAGTCCGAGAGGGTGAAAGCCCAAAGCATTCATCTCCCAGACCTTAGGGGGTTTGGTGAGCTCTAAAAGTATAGTAAAGGGGAGGACTTCAGTAGAGCCAGTTTGGCCAGGAAAGGCCAGTTTGGCCAGGAAAGGTCAATTCGGCCCAGAAAGGCTACACCCAGGTGTTGGGTGATAGGATAACCACTAAGAAGTCCAAGACTAGAGTGAATACGGATCGACAAGTGGGGTAGTTTGGTGAAGTGTTCAAGAGTCGGCTCTAGTTCCACCGGGAGATTGAATGGTTGATGTTCTCAATCCAAGTGTGGGTGGCACTACCTACTTGGATACCTGGCGTGGCTCAACAGAACCTCGCTCTAAGCCCATGGCTAGAGCACCCAAAGGCAGAAGGCGGGGAGAGTACCCACGAGGCTCGCGTAAAGCTATGGTGTTCCGAAATGTTGCCCCAAAGTCCCAGATTGTGAAAAGGAAGAGGAGCCATCTTCTAGTGTAGAGACCAAGAATACGGTCATGTGAGGAGGAAGTCCCAGAGGACCGAGGGACCCAAGTCCAAGTCCGAGTCCGAACCCGAGTCCGAATCTGAGTGCGAGTCCGAGTTCGAGTCTGAGAGGGTGAAAGCCCAAAGTGTTCATCTCCCAGACCTTGGGGGCTTTGGTGAACTCCAAAAGTATAGTAAGGGGGAAAACTCCAGTGGAGCCAGTTTGGCTAGAAAAGGCCAGTTCAGCCCAAGAAAGCTGCACCTAGATGTTGGGTGATGGGATAACCACTGGG